TGCATCTTTCGTATAATCATTAGGTATATTGAAATTACCGCAAACTCAAGATTTTAAATTCTAGTGAATTTTTTGTTCATATTGTAGGATTGATATGCATGCACATCATTACAGAATAATTTGACTGTTATGCAAATGAAAAATGAATATTTTATTTTATTAGAAATTTAAATTTTTATTGGATGCCTGTGTGTGCATGATACAGTAAGAAAAACTAAAGTACCCGTGCACATAAATGAAGAAGGATATTGATATTGAAGTACCTTAATTGATACAAGCTTTTAGGTGGTGCTCCTAGGACAATCGTATAAATATGAAATAATTTTGATATATTATTGATATAGTAAGACTGTTTGAATAACATTAAATATTTATATTGATTTATTAAAAAGTTTGTCAAACATGCATGTTTTTTTTTTCCATTGCATTAATATAATTGAGGGGTATGAGTATTCACTGGTTTATTCAGCTCATTGTTATTTTTAAACTAACTTTTTCAGGTAAATTTTATGTGATTAAAAGCTTAGTGAGAATAAAAAACGTTTATAAAAGACACAGATAACCAGTAATGAGGTAATTTTAATTACATTTTTTTAATTTAAATTGATTAGTGGTTCTTTAATTTGTAAAATGTTATTTTTAAAGAATGAATATCAAAAATTTATTTCCCACTATCCGACCATCTATTCTCATCTTGTTTAATTTTGAGCTCAGGTAAGGTTGTAACAAAAGTGGTATGAGAGCACAAAATTTATGACTAATTAATGTAATCTTGATGAAAGAGTCAATAGGATGATTATGAGAAATTTTAATTAATTTCGAGGATAATTTTTGTAAGTGGGGAAGATTGTGATGACCTGTTTCAATTAAGGGTAGATGAAAGCATGAATCGAAGAAGATGAGTCGAGCAGTGAAAGGGAAATGAACAGAAAGGTGAGGAATTGAGAAGTCGGGTATTCGAAGGAGGGGGGGGGGGGGGGGGGGGGGAAGGGGACAAATAGCTAAAGAAGAGGAAGTGAGCGGTTGTAACACCAAACAAAGGGGAGAGGAAGTGTGGGGACGGAAGCTAGAAAGGCGTATTTATGTTATAAATCACGCGATAGGGCATTTTTTACTTGCAGAGATGTGAGAAGAGATGTCACGGTCTCATGCAGGAGAAAATGTTGTCGAGCAGAGGAGAGGCAGAAGGTCTCGATGTCCATGTCGAGTGGGCAAAGAGTCGGCACGGTTGTCTTGCAGAGAAGGCGGTGAGTGCGGAGATTCTTTGCACTTGATTATGACGGACGAACCAACAAAGAAGTTAGGGAAGAGGGCAATGACATGATGAAGCAGGCGTGTGAGGAGAATCGAAGCCGCATGCGAGAAAGGCAGAAGAGTCGCACGTGTGAATTTAGGGCTTAATGAGGTAAGTTTTAATAAAGTTAAGGGTTGATTGATTTATAGTAATAATATTTAATAATAATAATAATAATAATAATAAAAAATAGCTAATTAGAATAATTAATAAATTTGTAATAACATAATCAATAAAATTAAATTTTAGCAAACTAAATATCATGTTTATTTTAGGTTTCAAATTTTAGAAGAGTAGACGTTAAGACAAATCAAATAGTAAATTAATCGACAATCGAGGTGAGTACTCATTTTTTTATTCTATGGTAAAGTTTTTTTTTTGCTTCTAGACTAAATGCACTCTTCCGTTTAATCATTAGTTATTTTGAAATTATGTAAACTCATGATTTTGAATTCTAATAAATTTTTTATTCATATTGTAGGAATAATGTGTGCACATTATTATTGAATGATTTGATTGCTATGCAAATGAGAAATGAATATTTAATTTATTAGAAAGTGGTATTTTTTTTTATGTTTGTATGTGCATGATCGACTATGATGGAGTCACCTCTTGATGTTACTAGTAAGAGAACACTAAAATACTGATGCACGTATATTGAAAAGAATATTAACATTGAAGTATCTTAATTAGTACAAACTTTTAGACGATGCTTCTGTGGCGGGTGTATAGATATGAAAGAATTTTGAAATATTATTGATATAACAAGACGTTTTGAATAACATCAAATATTTATATTTAATTATTAAAAAGTTTAACAAGCATCCATATCATTTTCTTTTCCATTTGTTGTAGTTGAGTTTAATGAGTATTCACCGGCTTGTTTAGCTCGCTGTTATTTTTAAACAAACTTTTCAGGTAGATTTTAGTGATTAAAAAATAAACGATTAAAAAGAAAACTTTTATAAAAGACGCAGACTACTAGCAACGATGTAATTTTAAATATATTGCTTTAATTTAAATTGATTAGTGACTTCTTAATTTGTAAAACGTTATTTATAGAGAATAAATATTGAAAATTTATTAGCCACCGTTCAACCGTTAATTCTAAGGCCCGGGCCGGGTCGTGATATTGAATTTCTCTCCTTTGTTAATGTGGTGGGTTGGAGATTTCAGCTCTCGTAGATTCAAGTATTCATTGAGATTTATTTGAAGCACAGGTCCATCTTCCTTTAAAAAGCTCAGCGTTTCTTTTGAAAATTTTTTGGATGCCAATCAATTAAATATTATAGGACAACCAAAGCTGCTCACAAATTGTTCACTCTTCAAAGTTTATATGATTAATTTGAATAGTTTTTTCGAAGTATCAACCATATTGGGAATTTCAGGATTAACTAAATCAGATCCCATGAGTTACCTGATGTCAACTATCATGCCTCATTATGACCCCCTTTCAATCAAGCTTGACATGTAGTAGAGCTAGGCAATCTAGTTGATTGCATTTTTCACTAACATCCCATTTTGACTTCTAATAGTTAGGATCGAGTGGGCAGGAAATTAATCTGCTTAGATGATCATAAAATATACACTGCAATTCATAATCTTCTAGAAAACCCATCATAATCACTAATACACGTGCATAATGTGAATCATCAATGTAAGCTACAAAGCTTTTATTAGTCTTTATGTATGATTAATACATATTAGAAGTTTTTAATTTAAATAATGCACTTTTTTTATTTATATCCAAAACCGTGCACCCAAAATTTGAATTTGAAGGACTAAATTGGATCGCCTAGTTATTGGCTGTCCTGCTCCTCGCTCGCCTGAAGTAATAGTTATAATATTTGATGAGCTAGAAGCTTAGTGGGATGGATCATTCTAATACAGAGTTCAGAATTAAAAAAAAAAAAAAAAAAAAAAAAAAAAAAAAGAGGCTTTCTAATCTTTTGTACTTGCATGTGCACAAATATTCATAGATACAGCTAGCTTGGTGTAGTATACTTTAAATCAAGGCATGCTTTTTAATTTAGTAAATAAAAGACCCAACAAACATGTTTGCAAGAAGATAAAATGCAGTTGTCAAATGTAAAACCGTTTAATGCATTAAGTTAATCAGATGTTGGTATCAAATTAATTGGTTTAATTTTATTTTCGAGTTTTTAATTACTATCTATTTAGATTGTGTATCATTTAGTCATCACCTAACATGTTGATTCATTATAAACATTGATGAGATTTGGATGTAGCCTAACATAGCGGTTATCAACTACCCCTTGATAAAATTTGGACTACTGCAACCTATTAATTATGGAGTTAAGAATCTCTTTTTGCCTTCATTAAAGTTCATCTTAGAAGAAAGTTTTTCTACTTCATTATCAAGTCATTATAATATGCCAAACTATCTCACATGATGTAATATTTCATGAATTTTTTAGCATTAATATCATTAGTATTCAAAATTACTTACTATTGTTGTGTGACTGATCAATCAACGTGTATTAATTTGCATCAAAGGTAAAGCATGCCACACATAGATGTCAATATCTGGGTTTAATTACGAATCTTATTTTATAAATCATTTTTAATGCTTGAATTATAGTTTATCATGAAACTATTTTTGATTGGCATCATATGCAAACAATAGACTTTCTAATAACAAATTAATTTTCATTAATATTACTAATTTGGAGAAATTCTGCTAGCATACATATAACAACTCAATGCAAATGATAGAAAAATACAAATATTAGACTTGCGTGTGCTTTGTTTCTTATAACCGAGATTGAGTATGTTTGCACAAATGTTATATCTTCCTTAGATTGGATTTTCTTATTTTTTTCAGCTTGAAGTTTTGTTCTTCTGCAAACAATCTAATAAATATTAATTTTTTAAATGTCTTTGAATCATTAAATTAACTGATAACTAATTCAATTAATCTCAAAATAATATATTTATTTTAAAATAATTCCTTTTCATTCAAACTTTGATGCCCACGAACTCAAAAATCAATCTTGATTTGCAGAAGGAAATATGAAAAATTGAGTTTTGGCGCCTAACTCTCTCTTTGTCCCGGCTGAATAAGGGATTACAGAAATCCAGTGCTGCATTAGCATTTATGTTTTTTTGATACACATAGTTCAGTTGATCATAACTAGTTGCGGAATTTTATAAAAATTCTTTTGATTATTTTTGGGATGTGTGAAAAATGAGTACTTATTTTTAAGAGAAATTGTTTTCATTTTTTATATTTTTGAGTATTACGTCAACAGTGATTGCCTTCATATGCTATTTATTAGTGTTTTAAAAGTAGCCATCTTGGTTTGACCATCACTCTTTAATTTTTATGGTCGTTGTTGAACTAGTGTACCATTTTAAATAAAACCAAAGCATTTAGTACACCAGTCTGTGTAATTTACTTTGACAAGTTGCATTTCTAAGTTAGCACACAATTTCTCAAGCATTTTACTTTCTACGAATTCACAAATTTATTAATTATTCTAATTTTTTTAATTTAATAGTTGATACTAGAAAAGTTATAGTATCATGAAAGAGCAAATATAAAAATTTATGTGTGACCATCGATTTCCCTGATACATTGTTTATTTTTTTATAATTTTTCAAACAATATTACGCATCTGGATGCCACTGTTACCTTCATTTATGAATTTTCTTGTGGGGTTTCTAAAAAATATTAAAAATCTAGATATGTAGAGACCTTAATGGGAAGAAAGCGGTTTATTTCAAAAATAAATTTTGGAGACTTTAAAGAGAAGGCTAAAGCGCAGAGACAGGCTGTTAATTCAATTTGCCAGGTATTCTGAAATGTTTTGATGAAGCTCAGTTTGAGTTGCTTGGAGTTTATTGGTAATGTTTATTCGTTTTTTTTTTAATTTTTAGGGCTCAGCTGCTGATGTGATCAAAGTTGCAATGATAAAAATCCACACAATCATTGTTGAAGGTGTTTTTGCTGATGCAGACAGTAGATCTGAAATGCGATTCTCCAGTCTGAGAGGTCAATGTAAACTTATTTTGCAGGTACTTTAAAAACATTTTTCTTTTTCTTTCCCCTAATTTCTTCATAGAGAAAAGTGTCAAAATGGTCCTCCGACTCTTTACAAGGAACCATTTTAGCATCTATAAAAGTGTCAATTTAGATGGGGGCTAAGATAGTCCTTTCTTGGGATTTGTTTAATTCATTTTTAAAGAATAGGAATGATTTGACATTTTTATAGACATTGAGGCTAAAATTGGCTCATGTAAATAGTGAAGGGACTATTCTGTCACTTTACTCTTTATTGTTAGTTTCCTGGTGGTTTGGATAACCAAAATATTATTATTATCTGTTTCCTTCCTACACTTTGATGAAATAGAAATCATCATTGTTATATAAAGAAGTCTTTTGGAGAGTTCTAGAGAAGAAAGGTGTTGCTATATCACTAACCAAGGCGGGTACAAGACATTTAGATTGTGTGAATTAAATTTTCTATATTATTATTCAATTTAATCGATGAAAGAGCTACTACAAATTAAATTAAAGTTATACAATTTAAAATTTCATTGTTATTGGTTGTCGTCATCGTTTATAAATATTGTCTCATCTATTTCTTGTATTTTAATAATTTAATTAAATCTGAAAAATTAGTTAAAACAACAGTGAGCTAAATAAAGTTAGTGAATACTCGTACTTCTAAATTACAACAATACAAGGAAAAAGAATAATTTGCATTTCAGTTAAGCTTATTTATAAATCAATATAAACCTTTGACATGCTATTCAAATGATCTATATCAATATAATATCAAAATCATTTAATTTCTTTACAACAATCACAGGAGGCACATTCTTTTGTATCACTTATGTTGTTTTAATATCAATATCATTTTCCATTTACATGCACGGGTACATAAGTGTTTCTTCACTAGTATCAATGAATGTTTCATTATAGCCAAACATGCACATGCAAACATAATACAAAATATTTTTTTTACATTCTAAATGTCATCAAATATCTTTCTTTTGTAACATACATGTGTGGTCATTAAGTATAACTAATTAAATTCATTTCTAGATGATCAAATTGAATAACAAGTCATAATAATCATATTCTAGTTGTAGTAACAAAATATCTTGACTAATGACATACTAATACGAATGATTTATAAGAAAAAACATTATTATTACCATAATTTAGAAGTAAAAGTACTCTCCTCGATGACACTTAATTTGTAAGATTTTGTCTGGACGACTACTCTTCTAAAGTCAAAACCTAAAATGATATAAAATTTAATTTATTTATTATTTTAAGTAAAATATTAATTTTTTATTATTCTTTAAGTATTAAATTTTTATTATTTTATCATGCTTATTTTTTTACTCAAATAATATATAGTATATTATTATTACTATTGCATTACCCTTACCTCTTTTGAAGACTCGACTCGACTTAAGGTCTGTTTGGGTTTGGGGCAGCTGTTGGGCAGCTGTTGATTATTTATATTATTCTGATAATCTGATAATCTGTAGATTATCAGAATAAGCTGGCTTGCTGTTTGGGGCAGTTTATCCAGAATAGCTTGTTGGTAGTTATGACTGTATAAATGACCTTCCTGCTCCTGTCTGGTAAAACTGTTTGGGACAGCTGGACAGCTTATTCAGAATAACTTATTGGTAGTACATAAACATATAGTGCAGAAGCATAAAATCATTACAGACGAATTCCAAAAGATAACAGACATTTCTCACACTCTCGTGAGTATCAGAAAAAATAAAAAAAAAAGGATAAAAACAAGTACAACTACATGGAGAAATATTAAAATGTTCAATTTCAAACTCTGACGATGCTTGTCCTCAGCTGCACTGTCAACCTGGGAAAACATCGTATTCCCATCACTGCTAGCAGTGTAACTGGTGGGAGTATTGACCCATCGGGAGAAACGACAACGAGCTGAAACACCCCTGCGACAACCGTATAACTGTCTCCCACTGCTATGAGGCTGAAACAACGTAAGTAACGAAGCCGGTAGTCTACAGTAACACAAAACAAATCTGTCTGTCACTGAAATCCTAGATGTCATGTTGATATATCTGTAAAAAAACAAAAAATTTGACTGTCAGATATTTAAAACAAAAAAGAAATACACAACATGAATCTATAATGTACAATGAAAAGAAAGACTTGGTGAATTAGTTGTCATAGATAGCATTCGCTATAGACTCCCTCAGGGCAGCCATCTCAACCACACCCTCCGCGTCATGAGATTCAAATTCGTTAAAGTCAATGTCCTCCTCAGGAACTGAAGGTCCGATCATAATTTCTGATGGTTCTTCGTAGACATTCAACTCATCGTTATCAGCCATACTGAAGTCCGTATCTGAACATGAAGGATGTTGTCGGATGAAGTTATGAAGTGTCATTGTTTCCACCATAATATGCACTTGCTTCTGAAATGGATATGATGACATGTCACGTAGTATGACCCATTTCTTCTTCTAAACCCCAAAAAGTTCTTTCAATTACCCCACGTAAAGAGGAGTGACATTTGTTAAACGTTTCTTTCCTTCCACAAGTAGTGTCATTTGCTAGTTCAAAATCAGGGATATGGTCCATAGTGTCTGGATATGGCTTTAGATAACCCCTCTGCATAGGGTATCCAACATTAACCAAATAGTACTTTCCTGTTATGGCAGACATTATTATTTGCAATAAATACTTATATCTACGAATTTTTCTCCATCAGAAGTGCCTATAACATTAAAATGAGGACAATCAGTTAATTAAACAAATTCTGATATGCACAAATTGAAAATGTAAGCCATACCTCTAATTTCTCGGCCCACTATTCTTCTGGAGCATCAATTGTACGTTTAATTGGATCCCAGCCTAGCCCGGTTGATCCACGTTTTAGCTTTTTCCAAATTTTTCATTCATTTTTTAATTGATCCCATTTATTTTTAAACTTAAGCCTATCATAATCTCGTCCAGTCAGCTCTTTAAACCTTTTAGCTATATTTTGCCAACCTTCTTTGTTGAAGTACGTTGTTGGCCTATTTACTAAATCTATTTCTTTAATACAAAAATCGCAAAAAATATTGGTTACTTCTTTATCCCACACAGCGGACGGACCTCCTTCTTTAGACATGTTGAAACTATAAGGAGCACAAGTATTATGCTCAAAGAATCTCCAAAGCGTTGCATTTAACAATTCAAAATAGATCATACACTTGATATAAAGCTGCAGAAACTGCATCCAATGAAGTTTTATTCTGCTATTCCAGTTAAATGCTATAAAAACATATTTGTCAAGCTATCAACAGTTTTTAAAATTTATTCATTTCAAAAATGAACTACTATAAAGAAGGGGAATAGCATTTGTTATTTACCGGTTGTTCAATTTCAAGGAAATCTTTTATTGAACATCATAAAACCTTTTTTTCTTTCTTTTCTTTTTTGGCCTAATTGGAAGCAAACCTCATTTACTTCTCTATGTTAGGAAACAAAAGGCGCACAAATGAATGATTATAGGAAATTCTTCTGCTCTTTCATTTCAAATCCAAATGCAAATCTACATGGAAGATGCATAACTATTAAAATTGACTATTTCTTATTTTTAGGATTCTGCGAAACTATATATGCATGGAAATTCTCCATTAAAAACCATAAAAAATTAATTCCTTCATAAAAAATCAATTTCTCTGATCGCAGAGTATAAAACCATGAAAACCATGAAAAATTCATGAAAGGAAAGCTTACTATGCAATCAATGAAAAATACTCCATTATAAAACCCTAAAATTACGAAGCATAGAACCAAATAGAACCAAATGAGTATACCTCACGATCCACCAACTAATGAACAAGAAATGGCGGTTTTTTCCCAGGGAGGAGGCGAGGCGGCAGATCTGCGAGAGAAGGGCAGATCCGCGAGATATGCAAAGGGATCGTCACGGGAAGGGCAGATCTGCGAGAGAAGGGTAGATGCAAAGGGATCATCACGGGTGATGCGAAGGATCGACTCGAGTGATGCGAAAGGTGTGCATAACTGCGATTCTCCCAGGGAGGAGGCAAGGCGGCGAGCAAAGGGCAACACAATGATTTTTTCCTATTAGACGCGGGACGCAGGGGGGAGACGGCTTGCGAAATTATGAAGAAAACAACTGTACAAAAATGCTGCGGCACCAATAATTTCACCCGAACGTGATATCTAAACAGGGGGCGGCATTTTGAAAACGTCGCCGCTCACTATAATCTGCCCCAAACGGGCACTTAGGCTCCTGCAAGCTCCGTCCCTTCCCTTTCTTTTTCTTCGGCTCGATTGTTCGTTGTCTCCTTTGCAACTTCCTCCTCTTCAACTTCTCTGATCACGTATCGATGCCAGTCATCGTCTCTCTAGAGCTCTACCACGACGCAGATACTTCCTCAGACTTCCACGTCGTCAACTAGGGCTTCTCCCATGCCATTCTCCTCTCCATTACTCGTTGCTTGGCTCCAAGGTAAGTTGGTCTCCTTCTGCATTCCTCATGTCCCTTTTATAGGCCAAAGTAACCTTTGGTTTCCCCGATTCCTCGCATCATCTTCCCCCTGACCGGCTCTTCATTTTCTCTTCCTTTCTTCGGCTTCTAAATATTTGTTTCCTCCTTTCTTTTCGGTTCACTTGAATCCTCACTTCCTATCTACTTCGGCTTTTCGTTTCTTTTCCCAAGAATGTTACATGATATGACCTATATTCAAGTCATTAAAGATATGTATGCTAGAGATTTTACTTGTGTTTGAACAGGAGGATTGACCAAGTATTTCTCTATTTCAGCTGTATTATATCAGGGATTTGCTTCAAGCCCATCTCTTTTTGCTTTAGCTATGGATGCTCTTACTAGACATTTACAGGAGGATGTACTCTGGTGTATGCTTTTCACGGATGATGTGAATTTTTGAATAACTTTCTTCTCAATGAATACATAGATAATTCACCTATAAATAGGCGTTTACAAGAAATAAAACAAGGAAAGAAATCTTCCTACAATTAAGTAATTCCTATAATTATAGAATAAACATAAATACCTATAATTAAGAATTACTATTTTTATACTATCACAAAATATAGCAAGTACTAAATAACATTAAAGTAAATAATAATGAGCGTAATTCCACACTCCCCCTCAAGATGGGTTGTACAGATTGTACATGCCCAACTTGTTGGTTAGCTCATCAAAACTGGACTTAGGGAGAGCCTTGGTGAGAATGTCTGCGGTTTGGTCTCTAGAAGGAGTATAGACCAATTCAATGATTCAATTGTCCACCTTCTCTGAAATAAAGTTCTGATCAATCTCAATGTGTTTCATTCGATCATGATGATCAGGA